CCAAAGGCAGCAATATACCAGCGCAGGAGCTCTACCGCGCTCTTTGAGAACGCAACAAATGTTGGCCTTCTCGGATCCGAGTCTGGGGACCATTTTGTCAATGCTGAGTCAACGAAGTCGGCAAGACAAAAAACAATCTTTGGCTGAGCCTCGGGCTTGTCTGAACACAGCAATTTCATACACTCGATGATGATTGCTTGTAGATCCGAAACGCGATCTATGTCCGGCGAATAACGAGGGGAGATGGAGTTCCAAGTGAGGAGGCGCAAATGATGAAGGATCTGCTCAATATGGTCATCTCCTAAATCGTCCTTATAGAGGCGGTACACCTGCTGAAATGTCTGTAAGTATGCTGACGATGCATCCTGATTTGGGCGTTCGAGGTCAATCATGTCCTCCCTGTTAGAAGGATGGCCAGCGACCCACAGCGACCAAGTGAGTTGGAGAGCCTTCTTGCTCATATTACTTGTCGTCTGCACACGAAGAAGGATGTTTGCCAGACTGGAGAATACCGCCTCAATTAGCTCCAGAAAGTTCGAGCTGATAAGCTTGTGGAAATATCCCAGGAGTCGTTCCCAGGAATCGTCAAATGCATCGTCTCCGACAATCGGTTCGAAAAACGTAGTTATCAGAGTGGAGAACCCCTTGATCATGACAACTGCCGTTTCTATCCATGACTGAAGCACCTCAAAGCTCCTGGCCTTCTCCGCTGTTCGAGACCTTGCGAGTTCAAGTTCGATTGCCTCAACCATTAAGAACAAAACACGATTCAGACACAGGCGCCATGCCTTAGGTGAGAGTTGTTGCCCGTACGCATCAAAAATCCTTAGAAGTGTTTGAATCGCGCAGTTTCGGATCTCCAGCCTGCTATCCCTCGCAAGACCTACAATCCTAAGCAGAAGCAAGAGCCACAGGGCATTTCGTGAGATCGAGGGTTCGTCGCCTCTAGCAAGAGTCGAAAGCGTCTCTTCGCTGACTGAGAGTTCAACATGCGACTCAATGCAGAATTCCTCAATTTGCCCTTGCAGAAAATCCGATACATTCCAGAAAGATGATGTCGTAGTCAACGAGATATTGAAGTCCTGTTGCTGTAAAGCGAAACGGGACAATGAATTCACGAGGTCCAACCGACATTGGCGTGGCAGCAGAGCGATAAAATCAGAAGCGACTAACTGCAGAGATTTGTATGCCGCACGAACGAGCCGAGGCGAATCAGCTACCGAGCGTGTGTCACGCGCCCTGCTAGAGGTATCCCCTGTCGCTGTCGCGTTCTCGCCGTTGGAAACGTCTCCGAAAACACTGGATATCAGGCTGAAGACAAGCGTCCATCCATCATGGAAAGACTCTGCATACTGCTCAAGAATACTCTTCAATGTCTCCAGACTCTGCTCATGAATCTCCACGACGGAGGTAGAGGGTAACCCGGGCATACAAGCATTAACCGAATAGAGCGTCGAGACTTGCATATTCAAAGCTTCCAGGTTTCTGATATGACGCGCATTTTGGACCGAATCATCAGCATTGTCTCTCTGTTTCATAGTCTCAGATATGACATAGCTGAGTACACCGTTTGCTTTTAGACGAAGTCTTTGGCTTGTCTCCGGGTTTGCGGCGGTTGCAATCAACCTCTCAGTGAGCAGCTGCCAGGCGCCACGGTTGGCATCAGCCAACGACGACAAGCGTTCAAGGTTTGCTTGGGCGACCTCTTTTGCTTTTTCCAGAACAAACTTCAGTTCTTCATCATGCATTCTAGACTTTTCCACCACGGAAGACACACGCCGATTGTTCCTCCGTGCCCGACCGATGTGCTTTTGTGACGGTGGAGAGTTAGGAGCCCCAGGTATCTTTTCAGATGGTCCATCTTCAACTGGCTCCTCAGTCATGCCGGAGAGGTCAAGGAGAGCAATCAGCAAACCATAAAACGAATCGCTCGGGTATTCACCGGTGCTCTCGAATAGTTTCGCAGACGCTGCTTGAACAGCTGTAATTTCCGCCCCAAGGTTGGCTTTAGACATATCGCCTGATACCTCTCCCAAATTATTGATGGAGTTCTTCGTTTTGCTTGAGGCCATGCCAATGAGTAAGTCTGCATCCTGCAGTGTTCCGAGAATGATCGACCAGGCCGGCTGGTCTAAAGTGGGACCGAGAGCAATCCCCAGATTCAAGAGAGCACGCAGGCACAGCAGATTCCTGGTGCTTAGTGACAAGGAAGCGATTTCCGCAGATGCGTTCGGGCCGTCAGCAGGAAATGGGGAGCTAACAAGGGACACCGCGCCGCCCTTGCGTTTTTCATCCATGGCAGTAATGCTGTGAGAATCTGAGACAGCTGCAGTCGAAGCACCAGCAGACTTGACGCCGCCCACGTCAGCTGGCATTGTAGCCTTCCCTAGAGTAGTTAAAAATGCGTCCCGCGGAATGGACAGTCTGAGAAGACCGGCAACATGAGCGAGCTTCTGGAAAGATCGAACAAGGTTGTGATAGAATTCTTCGTCCAACGAAGCGTAGAGAAATGTGGAACAGGTTGCAAGTATAGCAGGCCAGCAATTCTCAATGATGCCGGCGCAGGTCCTGATTGCTGTCAATTGAGGGTGAGAATCTAGGTCCAAGGGATTAAGAGGCATCGCGAGTTTCTTGGAATTCGATCTGTGTATGCCGGAATCCGTCCTCTGAAGATCATGTGCAGGCCCATTAGAAACGCTTTTGTCGGGGCTCGTAATCCGACTTTTCCGCTTCGGCTTTGAGTCCGGAACAGTTAATGGAAGTATGAACTTCGCCAGCCCTTCTGCAAATGTGCTGATACAATTGAGCACTAGGCTGTAGATGTATGTTTCAGGGGGAGATGGCGGATCAGTCTTGTCCAGCAGTTCGATGTACGGCGTGCGGACTGTGCTCCACTGACTGCTAATTCCCTGAAAACTAGTCTCAGTAGAAGGGCCTGTGGCTCCGATAACTCCAGCAACTCCACCGGCTTCAAGTGTTATCTGCTCTTCTGTTATGGATCGCGCATGTTCAGCTCGCAAGGGCACAGTCGAACGACTGCTGAGTCCAATTAACGAAGGCTTCTCAGACGCTAGACGAACGAGGGAGGCCATGTGATCTTTAAGGATATTCTTCCTGCTGTCTTCTCCGTCATATAGAGAGTAAATGAGCCGGACTAGCCCCGGCTCGGCATAAAGTCCTCTGAAGACTTCCATGCAGAGTACTCTTTTCCAAGGCGACGTTCCATCAGGCTCGAGAAGATGGGTCAGTAACCCAAGAGCCATCTCGCATTCCGCTGTCAGAAGAGACATATGGCGCTTGAGAAGTATAAGAAGTATCCGAGCAACACGGACGGTAAGGGCAAAGCCATGCCTTTCAGATAGGTACCTGACAGTCATTGGCATGAGCCGAGTCCGCAAGGTATGCGTGAGCTCTGCATGACCGACAAATAAGCGTCCGCTGTTAGTGAGAACGCTCTCGATGAGTTCCAATGTGAACGTTTGAGAGAGTGACTTGATACGCAGGAAATGCAATTGCTCGCCATCTACGAGGCGACACAGATCATCCAAGACCTTCACAAGGTATGTCAATGAAGTCCGAATACGATAGAAGTGTGGTGCTTACCCGCAATGCATCGTACGCAGAGTACCCGATATCAACGGAGCTAGCGTCAAGCTTGATTGTCACTCGTGGCTTGCCTTCATCGAGGGTTTCTGAAGATAAGTCAGCAGACATAGTAAACCAGGCCGAACAAAGGTAGATCCTAACTGTCTTCTTCAGCAACTCGTTCGAATGTCGAAACTACTAACTGCTGTAGCGTGGCCGCTGCTGTGCTGGAAACGGCAAGGGTTTTGCTTGCTTGCAGCGTAGCACATATTTCCAATGTACTTACAAGAAGCTCTCCTCCTAGGTCATTGGAATAATGCTGCAAAAGTGAAGGCAAAGACTGCAAAATTTTGAGTTGGATATCCAGGCCTTGAGCGAGTTAGTGGTTTGAAAGATTATCAGCTATGACTGCTTACTCAGGCTAGTTGTCTCTTTCAACCCTCCGAGGACATCCTTCAGCCTGTCAGAAGGTAGAGACCGTGAAGCCACAAGTCTCTGCAAGCAGACAACTCCGATGGCGGCAAGCTTTGCATGTCGACTATGGCAGGCCAAGATGAATGGATCGGCAAATCTAGGTTTGCGCACAAGATCTCTTGGGTACTCAGTAATCTTCCCAAGCAGCGAAGAAAAGAAGCAACATATGGCATTGCTTGAAACCCACCGGCAGATATCTGAGCCTCGGAAGTTGAAGGCAATGCCTTCAAATCACTCAGTGACTCCTCAGCAGCCTAAGCCGTCAGTAAGCTTGAGTTTCATGGAACCTCCTCTAATGGATGGGAAGCAAACATTTCGCAAGTCAGAATTCTTCCGTTTGGACTCCTGAATCAGATTCAAGAGTTCTGTTTGCAAGAACTGTGAGGACATTTCCAATCAGTGTATACAATCGCACCATGCCCAGTGCTACCAGTCCGAGGAATTTCTCCTTGACTTCTCCTTACTGGCGATCAGGCGTTGGCTGATGTTCGTTCATGGAGCATTTAGTGGATTGTCAATAGAATAAGAAAATAACAGAGCTCAGCACTTTGCTTCCCAAATAACAGCCATGAGTCTGTCAAGGAATAGATGAGAAAAAGATAATTATGTTGCAGCCACTTAGCAAAAACAATACAATCGTGTCGATCAACTTAAGCTCTATCTATCCACAGGTGGCTTCTCCAGGGGAATGCCAAGACAGCAGTGGAGATGCCGGCCCCACGTGATACCGGTGGCTTTCGTTATCATCACGTGAGATGACTCTTCTAGAAATCAAGGCAGGCTGTGACAAGTACCTCAGGCACACAGACTAACCAAAATAAGTAGTTCAGAGTGCCCCTCTTCCTCCCGCCGTGATAAGGTAGTATAATCTCTCTCTCTCTCCAACAACGTTTTCTCGGGATACATATTTTGTTGTCCCATCTTCAACAACTGTCATTGAAATGGCCGCAAAGATTCCCAGAAACTTCAGGCTTCTTGAGGAGCTTGAGAAGGGAGAAAAGGGCTTGGGAGCAGGTGAGCATGCGACCAGTCGGTCATGACGCATCACCCCGCTGATATCATGATGCTTTCCAATTTAGAGGCGTGCTCCTATGGTCTTGCGGATGGCGAGGATATGATGATGAGCAATTGGAACGGCACCATTCTTGGTCCACCCCATGTTCGTTCTCGATCTGTGTCGGATTGTCAAACCTACAAGCCAGCTGACCTAACAAAACCAGAGCGTCCATGAGAATCGGATATACAGTGTCCAGATCCATTGCGGTCCTGACTATCCTGATAACCCCCCAACCATCCAGTTCATTTCTCGCGTCAACATCCCATGCGTCGACCAGAAAACGGGAAAAGTAAGAATCTTCGCCCCCTGCTTTTCGAATCGAGAATGATATCTCCTAATACACGCTTAGGTCGATCCCGCCAAACTCCCCTGTCTGGCCCAGTGGAAACGCGAATATACCATGGAGACGATCCTACTTGAGATCAGAAGGCGAGTGTTTGAGCTCTTATTTACATTCCAAGGGTAGGCTAACCTTCAGTCACTCAGATACATGGCCCTACCACAACACAAGAAGCTTCCCCAGCCTCCAGAAGGCACAAACTTCTGAGTCTATCGCCTTGTGCATGGATCAGAAAATGATAATTGGAGTAACAGGTCGGTTCTTACGTTAGGTCTCTCTCACTACATTGAGTTCTAGAGCGTGTACAGTCTATGCATATCAGCAGGTATTGGCGTGGTTTCGTTAGAAGCCCATTTTTTCAAGCAATCAAAATGCAAAACGTGCCAGAGTTCATTATCTAACCCTAACCAGGTGACAGTCACTAGGGGATTAATGTGGCATCATATTTAGATTTTCAGCCAGCGGTTGTTTGCGTCCAACCTGTACTATAGACCTAGACATGGGACCAGACATGCTTCCGAAGGTCAGATATCAGACCGAAGAATGCGATGGAGAGCATAACAACGTCTCCTATACAAGATGGCTTGATAACCAGGTGAAAAGTGCGCTGATAGATGAAAAGATTTTCCAAATATATTTATCTGAAAGATGTCCGAATGTCTAAAGCATACCTATATAGCTCAGCTCTTGTCACGTGATTTTATCGACATCATTTTCTTGTTCATATCCTTAATCACATGTTCTGGAGATTGAAAGAAAACAAATCATTGAGTGCCAAATAGATCAAGCTATGCATCGACTCATCGTCCCAAAATACTCAGGGGCACATCGATATGCTTGTGAGTACCTTATTAGAAGATTGATTATGATTACGAGGCATATTGGGCAGATGAGCTAACCAGTCGTCTCTAGGTCTGGCACTGTACCGAGCACTCCTCCGCCAGTGCAGCAGATTGCCAGATGCAGTACCTGAGCTCCAGTCATCCAAGTCGCTAATCCAGCAAAAGTTCCATAAGTACAAGAACCTTCAAAGCCCGTCACAAACTGTCAATGCCCTGAAAGCTGGATATGAGGTACGAACTCAATGTCGTCTTCTGTCACATTAACACTAATGCATTATCGGTTCAACTTGCCAGGCTCTCGACCTACTGCATTCAGCGTCTCAGGGCAATGAACATGACCGTCACCGTATTGCGACGCTAGTCCTGGAAAGCCAATCGATCAGAAAACAGACCGCTGAGTTCAAGAAAATATTAGCTAGCACGGTTCAACCAAAGCCTTTATCCAAGAGAGAACTCAAGAAGGAAGAATCGAGGCGCTTTCAAGAAATAACTGCCCGAAGGCATCCGGACGCGACTCCCATCCTTTCCCGGCCCCGATCCGTCGTGAATGGAAAACGTCGTATCCCTGTGCTCGTCAGCGCGCGTGGAATCCCTTTTTTGCGCATCAAGAAGCCCCAGCCCAAGAATCTGAGCGGAGTTATTCGGACGAAACTCGATAAGCGCTGGCGCCGGATAGAGCGCCGGGAAAGACTCGGTGTAGAAATACTATTCGCCAAGGACGAGGATGATTGGGATCAGTTGACTCTTGATCAGACAGAGACAGAGACATGGGCTGGAGAAATCAAGAAAGCATTGGACGAGGTAAACACGAATCTGAAGGAGTCAGATTTGAAGAATAAGGAGCTTGCGGAGGCGATGTGGCAAGTCGTCCTTGCGGAACGCAAATTGGCCGCGGAAGAAGAAACACAAAGGTCGACCCAAAGATGAAGGGTTGAATCAGAAAAGCAGTCTTCCCTTCTACGCAAGCCATCATAATATAGTGGAGTGTGCATCTCTGCGAAGCTCCACAACCTCACCCTACCGCACGAGAGATTGGCGTTTTGTTCGGCTGCAGTGGACTCAACTGACAGTTTGTCGCCGGAGCAGCTCGCTCGTGCGAGAATCCAACAGCATCGAAATGTTTATGATGCTGAGTGGTAAACTTGGGCCGACCATTGCCCCCCATGGTCCTCGATGCGGACGTTCAACGCGTCGCTCTAAGTGCGCTGAATATGAAATCAGGTGGTCAATCCTTAGAGAGACAAGGGACGACCAGCTCTGGTACTCTTCGTTGCATCTTGCTGTATGAGCAAGTATCTAATTGGGATGGTTTGATTGGTCAATGTACCCCAGGTGCAATCATACCTAGGTCCCTTTCGTCCTTTTCGTCCTGGGGCCAGGCCAGATTAGCCCAATTATGACATGGTATGAATTATTCGAATATCACGGTGTCTATAAGTGGAATACTTCAATTCTCAACCATCTGCAGGGTCATCAGTGGGGTTATCACAAATGTGTGATTCTTCAAAGTGTCCAGCGCCACTCGCAGCAAGCGTACTTAAATGTTAGATCAGATATGTACAGGTGAATGCTGGAGCAAGATCAATCCAGGATATACCAGCACCACCAAAGATTAGATTTTGCTTTCTGTTAAGATCGTGCCAAAGCACTTCTTTATGCAACAATTTTCATCTTCTCAACAGCGGCCGGAATAGCATCCTCATCGTCCTCATCATAGTCTGCTTTCCCAGCCAACCCTCTCTCCCATAATTGCTTGCCAGTAAGCTTCTTCTCTTCTTTGGCCGTTGTCTTCTTCACCCTCTTTTCGTCCGCCTCTTTCTCCTCCCGCTCCCTCTGCTCCTTTTCCTCCAATTCTTTTCTGAACCTCTCTCGCCACTCTAAAAATGTTTCAGGAGTCACCGCTGTGCCCTGAAATTTCCGATTCTCCTCCTCTTCTGCCTTCGCAGCTTCCATTTCTTTCACAGCTTGGGCAGCGTTCGCCCGTTCAGCCATGAGTAACTCGGCACTTTCTTTCAAAGTGCTCACCAGAGTGAAGACCATTGCCATTCCCAAGTTTTCCTCGATAGTCGGCTGTAAGGCTTCAAGGAGCCGATCACGATCTTCCTGAACGTCTAGCAGAGGGTGCTTGGGCGCATTCGGAGGGGCCGAGATGTCAAGGTCCGGGGCAACGTCGGGATAATCTGATGGGTATGATACCTGAAGAATCAGGACTGGCTGCTCGGTTTCTTCCTCATCTCGGACGTCATTTTCGGGCGTGTCTAAATTAATCGATATCCGGTATGCGGTGTCGGAAATATCTGATTATCATTTCACCATCAGCGGCTGAGGGCATACAAGGTTATAACTGCGAATCAAGACAGCTGAAGCCCAACCTGTAATCTCATCGGGGAAAATGGAGTCGAGCACCTCGCGCTCCTCGACCTGATCTTCGCGGCCCATTCTGCTTCAAATGTGCCAGTGGTTGGTGGGGTACTGCGAGTAGGTTTTCGCAAGCAGATGCACAGTAAGAGCAGTAGCGCAAACAACAATAACACTTAAATGTTCAAATTAGTACACGAGGCTTGACCCCAGCAGACTCAAAGTATACTCATTTGACAGCTATTCTCAAGCTTGGAGTGTACAGGATATGCGATCTTACAGTCCCGCATGCAAACCAGGCAAACAGATAAGAAACAACTAAAATTATTTCATCCAAAAAAGGGAATAATTTCAATGCTCCTCCGCCTATCTGAAATACAAACTCGACAGACCCCAAGTGATTGGATACTTGTTATAATAATCTATATAATTCGAAATTGACCTTTTATTTTCGAGTCGAGAATTCTACAATACGTTCAAGACATACCAGCCCAAAAAAGATATCATGGGCAAATCTAGACCTCACAAGAAGAAGGCTTCGAAATCGCGCGAAAAGTCCGTTCTCCGAGCTGGCGGCTCAGTATCAAAACAGAAAATGAGCGAGGATCCTGCGAAACTCCTTGAGCAAGCGATCATCTTACTTCAAACGGGACAACCAGATGCAGCGCTTGCAACGGCTCAGCAGGCTTTCAGTTCTGCGCCCGCCAATTCTCCCGGTCAACTATCAGCTCTGAACACTATTGGCGAGATCTATGTAGAACTCGGTGATATCAATGCTGCGAGAGAATGCTTTTTACGTGCGGTGGAGCTCGACCCGAATGGCACAATACCCGAATCCGAAGGGGGTGGTGCTGAGAAGTTTTTATGGCTGGCTCAATTGAGCGAAGCGGGAGGGAGGGATAGTGTTCAGTGGTTTGAGAAAGGTGTTTCAGCTCTAAGAACAATCATCCAGCAGTTGGAGGAAAAGCAGGACCCTCAGACTGCTGCTGAGTTGGGAGAAAAGAAGAAGAAGATGGCAAACGCACTCTGCGGAGTAGCTGAAATCTATATGACAGATCTTTCGTGAGTAGCATTGTACCGAAACGTATTCACGTTGGAACGATCTGACAGCCTCCAGTTGGGAAGAAGATGCCGAAAACCAGTGCGAATCGCTCATAACGGAAGCTCTCTTGGTTGATCCTCAAGCGCCTGAAGTCCTCCAGACACTAGCATCCATCAGGATATCCCAATTGCGACAAGATGATGCCCGAGCCGCACTCTCTCGAAGTCTTGAGCTATGGAAAGACTTGCCCCCTGAAGATCCAAAGGTTCCGGAGTTTGCAACTCGAGTCAGTCTCGCGCGTCTACTCATGGAGGTTGCAATGGAATTGGAAGCCCTCGAAGTCTTGGAACGTTTGATTCTGGAAGATGACCAGAGCGTGGAAGCATGGTATCTGGGTGGTTGGTGTCTTTATCTTCTCGCGGAGAAGCGACAGGCACCCAAGGACGCAGAGGCAGAAGCATCGCCCGAGTCACAACGACTAGCTTCCCTTGTCGCCAGTCGCGAGTGGTTGAAACAGAGTTTGACCCTCTACGACCTGGTCCAGTATGAAGATGAAAGACTCAAGGAGCATGCTGTTGAGCTGGTCCAAGAGATGAACAAAGAAATAGGTGAGGATATGGAAGATGACAGCAACGCAGAGGATGACGAAGGGGAGGGAGGAGATTGGGAAGATGATTTTGAGGGTGAGTCGGATGAAGACCACGAGATGGCGGATTGATAAAAAGTTACAAGTCATATATGTTTGATGAATATCTGTCACGATACCAATAGAAATGATTCCATTACTCTAATGCACAGATTGCCTCACTGGGTTTGTCTCCTTCAATGGGGCTTTTGCACAGCAAATTGCAGTACTTATTCGGCGACCACTCAGAACTGTTGTGGACCAGCCTTGGACCAGTAGACATCTGCCTTAACTGCTTTCTATATCAAAGATCCTCTATTTCTTTGTCACTCGATGTCGGAGTCGGAATCGGATTAAGTCAGCTCCGACCGCTTTACCCAGAGATACGCAGAACCAAATTTATCCCAGCAATCGACTTTTTGAGTGGCAAAAAGGTCAATGTGGGTGAAGGTTCTTCATAGAGGCAGCTGGAAGTGTCCAATCTTTATTCAGGATGGACGTAATATCAGTGCCCGGTGGGGAGAGCGCGTCGTTGAAGGATCCGGTGGTCGAAGTGGAAGCCGTTGATATGGCTGGCGTGGAGACGGAAGCGACCATCAAGACCGAAGATACGGCTGCTGTGGTGGGCGAGGCGTCCCATTCTGAGTACGAGACTGATAGCGATGGCTCCGGAGAGGAATGGGAAACTCAGTCCTTGTACGAAGATGCGATTCAAGTACTGAAGGATGAGCAACTTCGTGATGGCGGTAAGCACTTCTTTATGCGCCTGGCTTATACATGCCACTCCCTTCAGTTGCGTCTTTCAACTAACCATGAATTTGACCAGTACCGGGTGCTTGCACTCTGGAAGAAGCCATAGCTTATCGCGAACGACTGCATGAAATCGGAAAGGCCGCATTCGTTGAGGAAACGATCGCTCGTGATACAGTCACCGCGAAGAAGTTATGTACTGCATTTGGAATTATGCCTCCAGCTTTCCTGGAAGGGGCCCCTGACGAAGCATATCATCCTCTTCTTGCGATTGCAATTTCTCGCGAATTCTCGAGGCGGCCGAAACTTCCTCAATACAATACAATCGACGATGCAGTCCAGTTGCTCAAGGAATCCAAGAATATCATTGTGTTGACCGGCGCAGGTGTAGGTTTTCAGATTAAGGTGCTTGTTTGGTTAACTTGGTACTGACGATTTTCGCAAGATCTCCACGAGTCTTGGAATCCCCGATTTTCGCTCCAAAGATACCGGACTCTATTCGCAGTTAGAACACCTGGGGCTAAGTGACCCTCAGGAGGTATTTGATATCCATGTGTTCCGTGAGGATCCAAGCATTTTCTTCTCAATCGCGAAGGATATATTGCCCACGGAGAAGAAATTTTCGCCCACTCATGCCTTCATCCGGCTCCTTCAGGATCAAGGGAAACTTTTGACCAATTATACTCAAAACATCGACAACATCGAGGCAAACGCAGGTATTCTGCCGGAGAAAATTCTGCAATGTCATGGCTCTTTTGCGACAGCTACCTGCGTCAAGTGTCATCACAAAGTGAAAGGCGAAGAGATTTTCGACGACATCAAAAAAGGCATTGTGCCCGAATGCATAGCTTGCAAAGAGAGGCTCGAAGACGATTCTCTGAAGCCGCAGGGGCTCAAGCGCAAACGCTTGTCCAACGGAACGCAGAAGAGCAGGAAGAAGGACGGTGAGGACAGTTCGGAGGAGGAAGATTACGAGATTCCCACTCCCGGCGTCATGAAGGTCAGCGTCTACTATCAGTGAGGTCCTAATGACAACTGTCAGCTAATTGTTCTCTAGCCTGACATTACATTCTTTGGCGAGGACTTGCCCGACGAGTTCGGCCGTCGTCTGCTTCATCATGACCGCGATAAAGTGGACTTGGTCATCGTGATTGGTACATCGTTGAAAGTAGCACCTGTGGCTGAAGTGCCGGGTGTTCTCCCACGCAATGTTCCCCAGATCTACATTTCTCGTACTGTATGTTACTCTTCATTCCCATAGGCATCTGTCGCCTTGGAACTGACCCATTGTCTAGCCTGTGACACATACGTGCTTCGATATTGACCTCTTGGGTGATTGCGATGTGGTAGTCTCCGAGCTGTCTCGCCGGGCCGGATGGGACCTGAAACATGACATGATACCCCCAGATGAGAAGGTTGAGATCACTCCTGTGGAAGGATATGATTCACGACATGTATTTAAGGTTGTTGGCGCATAGCGGCGGAGTCTTGTCACGGTTTCTTTTTCTTTTTCTTCGCTACTGTCTATCAGTTTAGGGATGGCGCAGGTCTGTTGGTTTTATCTAATATTCGCATCTTGTAGTATCATTTGTCAGAGGTTATACTGAAGGTCAGCTTCAGTTAGGGATATGTTTGTCATATATTTCATCGTTTTACAAGCAAATAAGAGCTGGAGCTAGCGACAAGCGAAAGTCTCACCAAGAATAGATTTCTTAAGGGCATTGGAGTTGCTTTCTGGGTGATCCGGATGAGATTGGCACAGAGATGAGTGATTGTAACGTATTGTCCTCATTTTTTGCCCATTCCTTACATTGTGGGTTTGTCCGATAGTAGCAGACTCAGTTTCGCGGCACAAGTAAGAAGAATCGATGGAAAAGTCATCGCACTCGATACAACCGCCATTTGACGCACCGTACAGCCAAGGCTAGACTGAATTTATCCTTTCTTATTCATACAAGTCTAGGAGCAATTGATTGTCCATACATCTATCCAGAAGCAAAGGCCGCATCTTGGCCTGGTGGCATCACGATGGAATACTTGATCCGCTTCGCTCAAGTGCACGAAAGTTTTCGACGGCCGGAGATCCAAGCACTGGCAGCTCTGGCTGGGATCGATCTTGAGATTGTTTCTTATAATGAATTCGTATGTGTTCTTTTCACTTTTTTCCTGAACGGTGATTTACCTTCCATCTCGGATTGTAATGATCTCGGAGGGGCTTCAGGTTGATTTTTTTTTGGTTCCCCGCGCCTCCGTCATTCGACAGAATTATGCATTATATGCAGGGCTGACCTAAAGTACAGTCACCATATTGCATCGTCAAGTTGACAGACGAGGAAGCTGCACGCGGACTTATTGCTCGTAGCATTCTAGCAAAAGATATCTTCGAGCTTTGGGGCCAAGGTACTAACTATGAAGACGTTCATAGCGACGTCCGCAGGCGGACCCAGCATCGCTGGAACGACTACAAGGAGGTATCATTCCGTTTTACCATCGAGAGCTTCGCTGGAAAGCGAAGTAATGAAGCGAAACGAGACATCATCCAGTCATTTGCCTATCTTGACTTCCAGGGTCCTATTCGGATGAAGAACCCAGGTGAGGATTTCTGGGTGCTAGAGGAGTACATCTCGGACGTTGCAACCTCAAAGACGACGGCCTCACCAGGTCCAACACGGCCAGCTGAATTTCAGACTCCGCAGAAGATCTATTTCGGACGTTGGGTTGCCAATAGTAGCCGGGAGGTTGTCAACAAGTACGACCTTAAGAAGCGTCGATATATCAGCACCACATCGATGGACGCTGAGTTGAGCCTAGTCACTGCTAATATGGCTCATGCAGCGCCCGGGAGGCTGTTCTTTGATCCATTTGTGGGAACAGGAAGCTTCTGCGTTGCTGCTGCGCACTTTGGCGCCCTGACTCTCGGCTCGGACATCGACGGACGTAGCTTTCGCGGCAAAGAGATGGGAAAGGGTAAACCGATGGGAGTGCTCTCGAACTTCCAACAATACGGCACCCAGAGCAAATTCTTGGACGTCTTCACTTCCGATCTGACAAATACGCCACTCCGTTCCAATCAGTTCCTAGATGGCATCGTTTGTGATCCTCCTTATGGTGTCCGTGAAGGCCTTCGAGTTTTGGGGACTCGCGATGGGCGCGGGAAGGAAGAGGTCTTGATCGACGGAGTCCCAGCTCACCTGTAAGTTTGCATCAAGGACGTGTTGATCCATGGTTTTCTGATGCATATTTAGGCTGCCTGACTACATCGCACCCAAGAGACCTTATGGATTTGAGGCCATGCAGAATGACATCCTCAACTTTGCCTCGCGGAGCTTAGTCACAAATGGACGGTTGGCTATGTGGATGCCAACATCCAGCGACGAGGAAGGGGAATTGGCCATCCCGATGCATCCGAACTTGGAGGTTGTGTGCGTCTCTGTACAGCCGTTCAACAACTGTAAGTTCATGGAAAGAACGCACTGCAATAGCACCATGTCTGATTTGGCATTTCAGGGTCCCGACGCCTCATCACTTACCGCAGACTCCCGGAAGGAGAGACCTCAGATGTCTCCGTGGGACGCAGGAAAGCTGATGCAGAGGGTATGTATGCCGATGAGCTTAATGCCTTCAGGAGAAAGGTCAGTCATTTTCTCCAGTCCTACATCTGCAGAGAGTATATGACTAACAGAGGTTCAGTATTTCATGAAGAACCCTAACTCCAAGTCTAAATCCGGTACAGAAAGCGACGTATCCGGATGAGACAAAAAATTTGCTTAGAAATACGAAGGCAGATCACAATCATCGTCACTTAACGCATTATGGTACGCCCCTCATATAGGAGCCAACTTGAATCCCTGTTTGAAAGCATTACACGATAGGACGCGACGTAGGTATCATACATCAACACAGATATAAAGAACAGTAGCACAAGGCTTCTACCTCACAGCTTCCCCTTTGTCCTCCGATAACGCACATCCGTAGCTGCCACATTCAAATCAACGCCTTCACTCTCTTCCACTCGGCGAACTTCCTTCGCCATCTCTTCTCTCAACGCCTTGGCTAATGTCTCTCCCTCCTCATCATCCAGTTCATCCCTCTGCCCCCGACCAAACATGACGAAACTCATTTTGGCTGCGGTAGGCGCAGGATCCAACGGCGGCCTGGGAATGACATGGAAATGCACATGGGGGACCTGCTGTGCAGCCCTGATGCCTGTTCGATGCTTGAGCGAGAGTAGTAATCAGCGAAATGGACAGATAACGTACCATTATTCTGCACCACATTCCAACTCCAATCTGATTCTGGCTCCGTGCCAAAGACAGTTCTCATCACGACCCGAGAGATGATAGGGAGCCACTGGCCAATCTGCGCGGCCGCATCCTTTAGAATCTGCTCTTATAACCTGAGAGGAAGGGTTAGAGGGTACACTGACCTGTCTGCTGACTTCAACACCCATGTCTTTCAACTTCTCGTAGTGATCTCTCGTAACGACAAGAACATGTCCCCTTGTCAACGGCATGGTATCCAAAAAGGCCAGGACATGTGGAGTCGAAAGCACGAGGTGCGCATGTGTTTCTTGCGTCGTATCTGTGGGAATGATAGTTGTTTCGTATGCGCCATCCTGTTTCTGCCTAGGATGGAATATCGGTGGTGGGATGGGAGGATATGCTGCTGCGATGCGGCAGAAGGGGCATGACGCTGATGATGGCGGTACAGTCATCTTGTTATTCTGTCTCAATGGAGGCTAGATTGGGTCCTTGTTGATGAGAACAACAATAAAGGGACAAGGATGGTAGCGAGCGCTTGGTAGTCTGAAGCAGAGGCCCATCTGCCAGGGCGCATTGAGGGGATGATTGGCCTCAAAGACAGGGTATCTCTACAGCATAAAAGCTATATACTCTCGACTAAAGTACCAGGAAGCCTATGACTTCAACTGTTCAATCGCTCTGGAGGAGTTGTGCCTCTGGCCTGATGAATTCAAAGTGGTCGGGATGAGAGTTATACTCCTCACTCGGGACCTCGGCTTAAATCCTTCATACCTACTATTCCGGACTGACTTGTGGCATCGCTCTCCCACTCTTTGGACCTCCAATTGTGAGAATTACTTGAGAATTTTAGGAACTTAACCAAGGCAAAGCTCTGCAGAATTGTTTGAATGCAAATTCTACTTCAATTTTGAACGACTGATAGCTGCGCTTCATTATTGCTGGAGGCGTCTATCTCACCGAAGTCAAAGAAGAGCAAAATGAGACGGGGAAAAAGAGAATAGATACGGGCGTAATTGGAAGAAGCGAATGTCAAAGTAGTGCATCCCCCCACCCTAGATTCTGGCCCAAACAGCAGCCTGTCACGAATGGAACGTGCAACAGGATTTTGACACCGCGAATCCTCGGCTTCAGACCACAGCAGCATGTGGAGCGTCATTGATTCGTGAAGGTAGCTGCATACGAAGAATGTTCGGCGCATATGGAACGCCAGTAAGGTGATCGAACCAAAAATGAAGTCAAATGGGAATACATTTCCGACCCTGAAGCTTTCGACCGTTGTGATACGCATAGGCGGGCAAAGAAGAAGAATGTGTAGAAGGTATCAATCAAAGTTTGTGCGAAACAACCCCGAAGACAGTGCTGAAACCAAAAAGAGCTTAAAGAACTTGAACAGACGATGCGCCAGACACCCCTGAGAGAAGTGGATAATGCCAACGTACGCATAGTGAAAAAAACAGAAAGCCGTCATAACCGTATGCAAGAGGTGCCCTTTTACCATCACAAACAAACAAATGCCGACATATAACTTGAATTGAATCCGTTGCTCTAACACGGAGATATGTGGCATATCGAGGCCATGATCAGCATGTTAGCACCAAATCGATGTGCGCCTATTCACTCTCTTTGATGAAGTTGTACGGTTCCGTGAGTGCGCTATCAATGTACATGTGATGGTATTTCTTGGCCCACTGCCGGGTAAGGATGGAGGCTAAATAGACTGATCAGCTGCTGTTATATTCCGACGGCATGATACTAGAGAGCTTACCCTTGAGGAACTTTTTGCTTGCGTATTTCTTGAAGAACGCTTCGTGACATACGGGACGGTGAAGGTAGTCGATCATCAATCGGAAAACAGGGTCGATCTCTTCCTCGGTATAACCAGCGTAGTGTGCTAGGGTCGCGTCCTAGTTTGAGTTAGCTTTGCAAAGAAGTGATTCCGCCTCGCAAGTGTGAAGGTCCTTACCCAAGGCCCACGTTCCAGGATCAAACGAGCGAGATACATAGCAGCTGCGGCGACGTGGCTTTGAGGGTAGCACATGAAGCGATGGTCCAAAAGGCTAATTTCCATGAGGTACTTGCCGAGGGTACGGGTCTGAATGTCATAATTGTCTGCCTTCGAAATACGACGGAGGAAGTTCATGGGGTTGGGATAGCTCATGTTGTACTCGAGGGTGGCTAGGATGTGGCGTTCGGCATCAAGAATCTCCTTGTCTGTAAATGTTTCGTCTGCGACGTGACTGAAGTTGGCCACGTGGGGTGAAAGAACTTCCTCATATTTGGAAGCAATGAACATGGCGGCAACTCCGACCAATTGCAGGCGATCAAGTGCGACGACTTCAGCAGAAAGGAAACGGTCGATGAGGTTCACAGCGAGGAAAAGCGTCTCAGGAAGAAGACGGAAGCGTGTGTGAACTTCAATCAGCCAGTCGACAAGAATGCCACGCATCTTCCACTCGAGGTCGGGTTGGTGCTCAATGTAGTGAGGGTTGGGTAATGTCTCCAACTCCAGGTCTCTCAGGTAGTCAAAGATCTCCACCACATATTCAGCGGCCATCAAAGGATCGTCCAAATCTTCAGTGTCCAAGTCGTCGACTACGTCCTCAGGCTTCTTGGCGACCTCAGGCTCAGCGGCAATGACGGCATCTTCCTTCACTGTGGATACCTTCTCCACGGTTGTCTTCTTCTCGGTGATCTTCTTCTCGACTTCGACCTTCTTGCGCGGCGGTTCCTCGGCCTGCAGGGTTTTCTCCTGTACGGATTTCTGGCTGGACGTCCGCTTCATCTGTGTGCTGCCGATACCAGAGCCACTTCCAGGACGCTTTGCTTCAACCGCAGGCTTCTTCGCGTTGTTATCTTTGGCGCCCAAGGCCGTACGTGATGAATTGGTCCGGCTCAGCTTCTGAACACCACCAGTCTGCATGGTAGCTTTCGACGTCAAGCCGACCTTGCCAGACGCTGATTTCTTCGCTTCCTTGGCCTCGCCATTTTCCGTCTTTGCAACGTTGCTGACATCCCCAAGGGCAGCGCGTCTTCTTTGTGTTCCGGTAGTCGTCGAATTCGTGGCGGCCTTCTTGGTCTGAAGGGGTTTTTTAGCAGCCGCGGTGGTTGTTGGAACATCTCCTGCCGACAGAGCAGCGGCCTTTGCTCGTGTCAGACGCGTCGACGGCCCGTTCTCGTCATTCTCGTTCATTGTACCTCGTGTACGAAGACTTCGGGCCTGTTTCAAGAGCAATCAGAATACAATTGCAATCATCAGACCAAAGAGCACAATGGTGTTTCCAAAGATAGCAGGTAGAAACATTACGCGTGTTTCTAACGGGTAGAACTTACCGGAGGCATGATGCTGAAGAGGAGAAGAGGGAGGAGAAGTACGTAGAAAAGCGAAGGGAAGAGAAAGGAGATATACTGTAGCTATTGTCGACCTGCACAAGATGTCCAGTCAGCATTCCAGGAGATCACCCCGGTGGGGATAGAATACCTGAGAGCTAAGGCGCAGATTGCACGTACCACGCGTGGAAATACGTTCAATGACCAGCAATGCAAATTGCAGGGAGAATAGCTAGTTATAGGAAGGGAATTTGATGCAGAGTTGTCAAGAATAATCGCATATATGGGTCCAATGATGTTGTTGACAGAACCTTTAAAGACTCAAATCACGTCCTATTCGGGCGCGCAAATCATGTAGAAATTCGCGTCAGCAAGCAGATTTTCAAGAAGGTGACTCGATAGCTAGAGCCGACACGCGAAGATCGATGATCGTGTGCTTTTGAGGTGCTCTTTGCTGTCTCGAAGAAGCAGTACTGCTGGGGTGGTGTAAAGAAGGTTGGTAAACTTGACAGGGCAAAGGCGATGTTTGGCCCTACGCTTAGCGTGGAAACAAACTAAGCTGGCAAAGCTGCCCCACAGCACAACCACCCAGTTGTATGATGTACCGCGTAGATAGAGCGTAGAAGAGCTGATCTTGACAAACCCCGTATGAAGTATGAAATATGAAATACTTGGCTCAATTAATATCATCTAGGACTGGAGAACGGTGTTAGACAAAAGGAAAATGAAAGACACCTTAAGAGACACCGCGAAAGAGCCTACTTTGGCTCATGGACGGAAAGGGGTGGTGACGGTAATAAAAGGACGTCTCCCAGATGGTAAGGTAATATTGTATGGACCAGAGGTATCGAAATCTCAGGTACCTGCTACAGCTCGACTCACTGATTTTTCTTAAAAGGTTCTCAAGCTTATGCGGCATATTCAATGACTCTTCTCAAATGGCCTACATACTAATTCCAATAGATTTGTACAGTGACTGCTCTCTACTCGTTGATATAGGATGTATTGAAGGTAAGCAATGGAACCTACCTACCTTAAGCAAGGTAGGTACGGAAATCTCCGTATCGATATCGTCATTGACAGGACGATTATTTACAGTGGTGGAGGCTCTCAATCAAACAAGTATCGATGTATCGATGCCTGAAAGTTTGACCCAGGCAGGAAGTCAGAACGAACGCCATCGCGGGCATCAAGCGTGATGTAGCGCGCTCCATGACCACCCCAAACAATACGTTGTTGCCCAGCAACCAGCTGAACCTCTGAATCTTCCGTTGGACGTGTTCCCGTGTCGCGCAGTCCCGTGATCTGACCCTGCTGTGCCACAATTGACTTTCTGTGGCCGTGCTCAAAATCAGGTGACTTTTCACGAGCCACATCCGCACCGGAAAATCGAAGACATTTTCGGGACCACAAGCGGATCACGGTGACACTCCCATTTGCGAAGGAGTGTTGTCATCGGTTGAGAGGGTGTCTGGGTCCTGTTTCTGATTGTATCTTTCAGCATTGAGGGAGTATGCTTTACCATTGATTGCTTACTTGCTCCTCGACGTGCACAGTCCGAATCTCGCAGCTCCGGCAGCGCCTGGAATATTTCCGAGTAATCGAGATACAACTTAACATTATGCTTCAACCTCGATTTGCCCTGACGGGTCTTCGCCTACCCTTCAGATGCCTGTCTTCAGTGTCATCAAGAGGCTATGCAACAGTCTCCCACGAACAAGAGAAACCCCCAGTTGAAGAGTCATCAAGCTCCACTTTCGATCCAAGCATTGCCTTTGCGCCTCCACCAACCCGTGACGATGCTGGTGTTCTCCTTCGATCGTACAAGCCACGGACTCCCGGTATCAGACATTTGCGAAGGCCAGTCAATGACCATCTGTGGAAGGGACGTCCGGTGCACAAGTTGACATTCCCCAAACGGGGCCAAGGCAAGGGAGGTCGAAACAACACCGGTAGGGTCACCGTTCGGCACCGTGGTGGTGGTCACAAACGCCGCATACGAATTGTCGACTTTGCACGGATTGCTCCGGGGCCACATCTGGTGGAACGCATTGAACACGACCCTGGGCGAAGTGCCCATATCGCGCTTGTGCGCAGCCAAGACACCCAGAAGCTGAGCTACATCCTGGCTGCGGAAGGTATGAGAGCTGGAGACGTTGTTCAGAGTTATATGTCTGGTATTCCGGAAGATCTTTGGAAGAGTATGGGAGGTACCGTTGATCCTGGTGTTCTCGCCGCCAGGACCGCTTGGAGAGGAAATTGCTTGCCCTTGCACATGATCCCCGTAGGTACTTTGATATTCAACGTTGGACTTCGTCCAGGCAAGGGGGGTCAGCTGTGCCGGAGTGCGGGCACCTACGCAACTGTCATCTCGAAAGGCAGCGATTCCCAATCCCGGGCCAAAGAGGTCAACACCCAGGAGGATGGAACGGAAGAGCAGAAGCCCCTCTCCCAACGGGAGAAGCAGAAGCAAGAACGTATCGCTCAACACGTCACCATTCGCCTCCAAAGTGGTGAGGTTCGACTTATTCACAAGGACTGCTGCGCAACGGTTGGAGTCGCCAGCAATCCTAACCACCAGTATCGGCAGCTCGGTAAGGCGGGTCGTTCACGCTGGTTGAATATCCGTCCTACTGTCCGTGGTCTCGCCATGAACGCTGCCGATCACCCTCACGGTGGTGGACGTGGTAAGTCGAAGGGTAATGTCGATCCAAAGAGTCCTTGGGGTCTACCGGTATGTACATACGAAACAACGGCGCCACGCTTTTATCGTCATTTGTTTACTGACCCCTTGTCCAGGCCAAATCCGGCTACAAAACCCGCCCCAAGTGGAAGATCAACAAGGCTGTGGTGGTCCCAAGAGTCCGCAACCAAGGCAAGCGTCGCAGAGGCTACAACTGAGCTTCCCTCTCTCTGTGTTCTTTGTCGTTTCCCCCCTGCCTTTATCGCATTGTGGGACTGCTTAACCATAGTTTCATTGGGGAAACGTTTGCAAAGGCTGTGTGTCACTGATCTAGCATTGTGACATGCCCTTGCTTCCTTCAGATCCTCATTGTATTCCTCGAGTATTTTCATGTCTAACTGCGGATGATGGGTCCTCCGCTCACACTGTATCATATTTTGACTTGAATTGGGCGCCTGGCATGCTGTCTTAGATATCTTTCAAGAATTCTTGCGACTACCCCTTCGCTGTTGTGATTGATAGATTGTATTTCCATACGATTGCCATGGCTGTCTCGTCTATATGGTCAAGATACACATGGTCAACTGGGAAACAAGATCTCCTCTTGAGATCCTACTTGTCTTATTGCACCAGCATATTCAGAAAGCATTCAAGACCAAATCAGCCCTGAAGCCGTGATGTAGACCAACCTAGATTTCGCAATTCAGATGGCTGACGGTGGCTTCTACTGATAACGCGACCAACACTCTCGAGAGACACCTTGTCGTATCTAGACTCCAAAAAGATACTCAATGTGATATAGCCCTCGTATTCCATTTAGGCAGATAGCAAAGACCATTACAAGTGCTTTGAGGTTGGCATTTTTGAGGACGCGGGGTGACCACCAGTTCCAGTTTGGGGAACAATTGTGGCGCTGTCATCCCGTCACCAACCTAAAAAGATCAACGTCTACGAATATTTCTACTGCCTGTTCATCGACCTGAGCATGACACTTCTCTCCTGATCTCTTTCTCTTCAACTCACTTTCACGTATTCCAATGCTGCATTGGTATGTCTTTTCGTGCTTCGTCACTGAGGTCGTGAAACCTCCATTCTTGCGCCTTTCTCGAGTCGCATAGTCCCGAGAGCCAGCGGCTTACCTTCAGCCATACCTTTTCTACCAACCTCCGCTCTACTACCAGGACATGGCAGATCTCTTCGGCGAGAATTTCCTAGGCGTTAGCTCTTCTTCCTCTCAGTTACGACCTACACAGACAAACCATGCCACATCATCAGCATCCACGGGCCATGGCGACGCAGATAACGTCCATCTGCCTCGTACCAAGCGCATCGCATGTGTTGTATGTCGGCGACGGAAGCTGAGATGCGACGGGAAGAGGCCCAGCTGTGGAACTTGCTCCCGATTAGGTCATGAATGTGCTTACGATGAAGTTCGCAAAAAGAGTGGTCCAAAGCGGGGTTATGTGAAGCAGTTGGAAGCGCGTCTGGGTACGTGATACCCTTTTGCTTCTGGCGTTGTCTCTCGAACTGGAGACTTCTCACCTTGTATATTGCTAATGCTAGTCCTTGTGAAGCCCAGGTCGAAAATCTGTTAAGGACCCAAGAGCCGAGCGCAGCCCAGACTCAAGAGAATCATAGCCATATTCCAGCGTCGAATGAAAATGAGATGACGAGCTTACCGGATGTTCCCTTACTCGCAACCGATCTAAGCAGCTCTCTGTCACCTCCGCAGCCCATGGGTGAGCATCAAGCTTTGTCTCAGGCATACCTACCATCAGGACACAATGCTGGGGGTAACTTTGATTGGCATATGTTGGGTCTGGGACTCGAGGAACCGTTGCCAACTCAGGATGTTATCGATGAATTGTACGCCTATAATATTTTTCCTTTCTCCAAATTGGTATCTCATGCGTTGACAGGAATCAAATCTATTTCGACAAAATCCATCCTTCGATACCCATGTTACATCGACCGAGACATCTAGCAGCCATGAACTTAGCCTACAACATACGACCCCCTGTGTGTCTACAGTATAGTACCTGGTGCCATGCAGCCGCTGTCAGTGAAAAATACTCAAACTTGCATGCTCTTTTCTATCAGCGGGCCCGCAAATACGCTGAATTGGATGAAATGAAAGGCTTCGGGGAGAGCATGGTTTCTCTGACACACTGCCAAACTTGGATCCTGATCAGCACATACGAGTTCAAAATGATGTATTTCCCGCGAGCGTGGCTCAGTAGCGGCAAAGCTACACGACTGGCGCTCATGATGGGCCTGAATAGGCTAGATGGATTGGGCCCCGAAGTGAAGCAATCATTACCACCACCTAGAGACTGGACGGAAAAAGAAGAGCGGCGAAGAACCTTTTGGATGGCATTCTGCATTGATCGATACGCTAGTGCCGGAACCGGATGGCCTGTCATAATCGATGAAAGAGACGTCAGTCTTGTACCCTGTTTTCCACGGCACCTAACATGCTACACCCTGATTGATGGCAATTGCTGACCGTTGGCGATAGGTCATGACAAATTTACCCGCCAGTGAAACATCATTCATCAAGAGCAAGCCCGAGCGTACTATACGTCTCAGCAGCGTGATGCGAGGGGAAGGAATCCCGACTCTGTCACCTTTCGCAAGTGTTGTATTGCTGGCAGGCATGTTCGGCCGCAATCTTACCCATCTCCATCGTCCTGATCCGCAAGATAACGACCACGATCTAAATGGCGAGTATTGGAAAAGGCACAGATGTCTTGACAATATTTTGCTCCATTTCGCGTTGACGATGCCCAGCCATCTGCGGCTTCCAGCTGGAATAGCCGACCCGAATGTCGTCTTCTGCAATATGGCTATCCATACGTCGACTATTTGTCTACACCAAGCTGCCATTTTTAAAGCGGAGAAGAACAAGATGCCTGACCAGATTATCACTGAGAGCAAGCGGAGGTGTATTGTTGCCGCGGACCAAATCTCAAGCATTATGAAAATGATCAGTCATACAGATTTGACTCTTGTTAGTACTTCCCCCTTTTTGTTGAGCGGCTACAGCGCTAATTTGCCATAGATGAATCCCTTCATGTCCTTTTGTGTGTACGTCGCCGCGCGAGTCTTCGTGCAGTATCTGCAGTCACGGCCGGACGACTCGGCTGCTCGTTCATCCTTGCAATTTTTCTTCTCAGCACTTGATGCTTTGAAGAACAAGAATCCTATGACCGAGTCGTTCCTTGTACAGCTCGACGTTGATATCGAAGGAACAGCGTTCCGTGATATACGGCGTCCAATGAACGAGGCGCAGCAGGACAGGGTAAGGCCGCCCATCATTTTTTAATGGGCAATGTCATATTGGAATCGCTAATGTTACCTTGTTTTAGGTGCCTGGTTTTGTGAACGGAAAATGCACATCCATATTGTCTATAGGGCAATGTCACAACGAGAGCCAATCTAGCCATGAATCCCGCCAGTCTGGTTTTCAGACCTCTGCTTCACTTCCAAATCGCCAAAGACGAGCACCAGCTCAAGGCCAGAACTTGGAAGGTACAGCAATGGCTGGAGTTTCGCAATCTTTCGTTGAATCGTCATATAATCTCAGTTCCGGGCCTGAGACGGTAGGCTCAGGGACAGATATGGATCTTTCACCGGGTTTCGATGACACTGGAAATCCGATATCGGAAGGATCAACATCGTCAGCAGTGAAATCGTCCTCAAACACATCTTACGTCGGTGCTAGTAGCACATCATCGCCAAAGGTACCGCAGCAATCGCCCTTGAATTTCTCGAATCAAACACCCAGCAATGTGCTCAGTAACAGTGATTCGGTGCAAATGCCATCAAACACCGCGAATGCTGGGCAATTTGACGGTTTTACGTACAATGATAATATCTTTTCAACCGACGCTATACCATCACTCGATACTAGTGTTCCAGAGCCTCCATTCTCCATTCCTCCATCATGGGATATTGCTGCTACACAAGCATCCAACGTGGAAAATAACAATATAACGCCCGCGACAATGGGGTCTCTCAGTGAGACTCAGTGGGCACAACTCCTCAGTTCCAATAACTGGGACGCCTGGCGAAACCAAGGCTAAGCTGAGAAGGCGGCCTTCGGGGGCCAACATTGTCGAGGCACCTGCAAGCTTTCTAAAAAAAGCAGGATTCGGAAATAAATTGAGTATTTTAAGCTCACCTGGTGGATATATGTGATACCCTTAAGCTGAGCGGGTGTCATTGTAACGGCCAAGTCACGATTTGGATCACTGGCCTTGAAGTTTGGAGTTCCGGGTGTATACGACTTTTTGGAGTCTTTTCATAATGTAACATCTATGGAGGAAGTATCGTGTTTTTGTATAATGCTCTATCAGCGCATACAGACTCAATACTTGGAAATAGCCTCAATGCAACACATCTCCACGAGCAAAAATACCCCATTCGATCTTCTGGTTCAGTTTCGCCGACAAACCAGTCTTCCAAACCTAGTGCATACTACATCACGGCAAGCAAGGCTGAAGAAGCTCCATGGCACGTATACTAAGCCTCATAAGCTACCACCGGCGGCACCAACGATCTTTAGTCCTCCGGCACCCGCACTTCCGGGCCCGTCGGCCGTTGTAGAATACGCAAGCCAGTAACGCGAGGGATGCCATGCAACGGTAGGTATACCAGAAGTACTGCTGCCGCCCGTAGGAACTGTGTAGACGCTCTCTCCCGTTTCAGCATGGAAGATCTCCAGGCCGTTCCCGCCGCAGCCTACCTCGTCGCAGGCACCGCAGACGAAACGCCCATCGAAGCTCCAGCTTACGCCACGGATGGCACCTCCGTTGTTACTCGAGACTGTGCGTCGACAGATCCAGTCGGTTGTGTCCCAGAGCGAGATCAGGGCGTCGCTGCCACCGACGGCGAGGTACCGGCCTGTAGGCGCGAGCGCTATGGAGAGACATGCGGATGTGTGTGCGTGAAGGGTGTGGAGGACATCGAAGGACGGGTACGACATGATCTTGACGGTGCCTTCGCCTGTTGTGGCGAAGAGATGCAAGTCGGGAGAGGTGGGCGTGGGGATGTGGTGGGAGAAGGTCGTTGCGTTAGTCTGTACGGATTGTGGATGGGATTCTAGTGCGGTGTAGGTTGTCGTTCCTTCTTTTGAATTCGGAGATGATGTAGAGGGGAGGTTGGTGACGCCGTCTGTCAGAATATATGGTGAAGAGGGCGATTCTATCGAAATGGGGATCAGGGTGTCGTCCTGGGATCCGGAAAATAGTCAGTCGCCTTTCGATACGTCGCTTCTCATGGCTCATGCTCCGGCTTCGCGTTCATGAATTCTGAAGTCCCAAATGTAACCCATGGTTATTTTCAACATACCTTTCTTCCCACCATTAGGACCCTCCCATCAGCCGACCAGGACAATGTGAATGCCTCTCCGCCGACATCGAGACGGCTTACACACGTCTTCGATCGTACATCCCAGAACCTGACGGTACCATCCGTCGAGCAGCTCGCCAGCTCCGAGTCTTTGACCGGGTTAAATAACACTTTCTCGATGCCCGCGGAATGGCCGCGCAGATCGGTCGAGTGTTTGACTGCCGGGCGCTCGGGGTTCCAGATGCGGAGGGTTCGATCAGCTGAGCCTGTGGCAATGAGCTGCCCGGTAGGATTCCACGCTATCGTGCGGATACTGTAGCAGAGAAGCAACAACCGCAGTCAGCTCGGAGGTTCTGAGGGTGAGATCACCAATTGAGCGAAGATGAAGACGCACGTGTGGGACCCGGGACCCCTCGCAATGGGATCATGATAGCTTTGAGTCTTGAGGCTACCGAACGCGAATGCGAATCGCTCCTTTGGCAGGAGATTCCGTCGTGGTGGAGGAGCCATCGCTTGCTACTGCTGCGAGCGAGCTGCGGGCGCGACTGCGGAGAGCAGTGGAAACCCACATGCACGCCCCGAAGGGCTGTGGTTCGTGCGATTAAGGACTGACCCTCACGAGTGGCAAGAGAAAGCCCCAGTATATATATGAGACCGGAATATTGATAGCGGGATCAATTGTAGAGGATTGCTCGGTAAGGGCGCGTGAGAAAGTTGGAGAACAATCGATAATGCATCCGTTGCTTGTTGGAGATGGGATTCATGCCTCAGGCACAAACATGTATAACAAGCTTCTTTCTGTTTTGTGAAGTTGAGGGGGATTCATGCAACAATCAGTTACTCGAGGCTGATAATCACATCTACTGCATATAAATTGACATGAGGATTATGTTGATTCACTCGATGAATGGCTTTTGAAGAGGTTCTCCTGTTTGTGGTCATATCGCTATGTTGTCTACTCTGTCTTCACCAAGTCAATTGTACTTGAATCGCCTTCAATGGGTGAAGATCTAATCATTTTGCTAAAATGCTTAAGATTTACTCTGAAAGAATAGTACTCTGAGTGCTTATGGAGTCAGAAAGATCTTCTCGGGAATCGCCAGATGATCTGTTGATATTTGGTGGAACTATATTGCTGTGCATGGCACACATCTGAGTACTAACCCTGAGATTGATTCCCATACTATCCGACTTTTTATGACATATAGACTCGGAAAGATACATCGAAAGACTAAAATTTGGATGCCTGTATGCTCGAATATACAGCCTTGTAGGGCTGAAGAAGTTCCGGCCCGCAAGCTCTATGCTTTATAAAAATCACACTTTTCCGGCCCAAACGGCTTCACGACAACATATTTCAATGTATACCAAGCATAAAGCGCCATTCCGGTTCATCTCAAGTGGGACTATACTCTGATAGAATTTCAAAAGGTACATCTGGAAGTTATTGGCAAGGTATCCTATCATGCTGGACTTCGACGACGACGCGTCCAGGCGTGAAAAGTGCTTCACCACCATTGCGCAATTGCCTGCGTTTGTCGACCCTAAGCAGCCACCGACCAAAAAGTCACCTTTTTCAGCTATCGTGAATCACCCATTTGTGCACACGGTAATTTCAAAGAATAAACTCGCCTGGACTCCTGAGCTATGGTGAACTAATCGTTGAGAACAGGTAGAGGTCCTCCTCCCAGAAGAGGCCTATTCAAGCATAAAGGACTCGTTGGATCCGAAAATCCAAAGGCTTCGATATGCGAGGGTGTTCATGCCTCTTTCTGCACTGCTTGAAGGAGACTTCTTCAATACGTACATCAAGACTGGTACCTTATTCTTTTTTGTCTTTCATGACCTCGTCGCAAAGCGATCTCCGTTGGTTCTAACCTCTCTCCCTCAGGCAATATCCTCATGATATCCGAGGGGCGATCAGGCTCAGACAACGTTTACACGCTCAAAGACGGTACGTTCGCATAGGAAGCTGCGCATCTAGATTCAAACTGACAATGCTTCAGGGATCTTAAAATTAGAGCTCGGCAAGGAGGTCTACGAACGGACAGGACTGACAGGGAAACCCATCCGCAGTGGAGGAAGGAAACATGCCAAAGAGAGATATGGTGCGCCAAACTCCGTCATCATCCCATCCTCATTGAGGAGAAACTAATGAATCACCTCACTAGTTGTTGAAATCAATCTGCGGCTGCCTTCTATGCTGCACGGCAAGAAAGGGTTTGACAGAATCGTCTGGGCATTCAAAAACGTCCTTGACCAGTCCGTAGCCTGGCTCTTTTACGACCTGGCACCAGGAACCAACGGAATCTCCGAAGGTACAAGTAGCTCAAACTCCTAAATCTTACAACAAAAAAATAGTAAACTGACAAAGCCAAGGAGATCCCACCCTCAAAGGCAATCATCCACAAATCATCGACTGTGATGTCTCCCGTACACATTACCGCAACATCATCGCCCCCTCTTTCTGCGAGATGACCTTCACAGAAGCGTCCTCAGAAGGTATCTTGAAAGAAGATTCTGAGAATCTTTCTGAATGGCTGGCAATGGTAGCCCTCGGGTCTCCGCGGGTATCAAAAGACGACAACATCGACCCATACCTAAGCCGCTACAGCGTCTCAGATGACGGACCTGTCAGATCTACCAATCTAGTCTCCTTGAAATGGCACGGCCTCGTTCCCCCCAGCTGGATTTTAGATCTGCTCATCACTTTGCTGTAAGTCTTCTTCTGCCGTATTCACCAGGACCGTAATCGCTCTGCTGACTCGGTTGCCTACTAGGCGTGAGACCGCCTCAAAATCTTCGCCAACATCAACATGGTTTGCACTCTCCTCGAGTGCACTGGGAAGGGAAGCAGTGGAAGCGAAGGATGGATATACGGTCATGTTGTTGCCACAGCCCGAACGCACTGACAGTGCTCAGGACAATCAAGAAAGAGGAGCAGACACTCCTACCAGACCTAGTCGGTCTTGTGTTTGCTGGGAATATGTAGGAGCCTCAGTCCTATAATGCTACAATGACTATCAATTACAAAGAAGATTCTCTTCCCTTCGTGACAAACGGCGCGAATCTCGAGGACAATTTTGTTTCGTTATTGATCAAGCTATGCTATCGTATGAAGTCATGGTTGTGGTATTATCCAAAAGAAAGCCTGCAAGAACTACAAGCCTCCATGAGATCCGGTTATCGCCCCAATTCCCTAAAGGAAGACAGTTGACCAAGGTAAAATAGTTATACAAAAATCAAGAGCGATGAAGCAACAAAAAAAAAAAAAAAGAGTATCCATGCGAGTCGTTAACCAAAGAGATCATTTACCACGTCCTGCAAGACAGGTCTATTCCCAATGACCTTATTCCCACTTAGAAGCTTGGCCCCTCTCTTAGCGGGTTTCTTGAGACCTTGCAGCGTTTGTTGGCCCTGTATTGGGCTCAGAGGATTGCGAGACGCCTTTCGCACAGGAGACTTCTTTGCGGGACTTCTGCTCGCCTTGGATGGTGATTCGTCTGCATCGAGCGATGGGGTGAAGCCCACGTCGCAGTCGAAGATGTGGCTTTCCATAGCACCTTTGGGCAAATCATATATCCATCGTCGTTCTTCCACCATGCTTATGTATTTGCGGAGTAGATCATTGCCGTCTCGCAAAGTGCTCTTGCTTCCAACAACGAGCAGCTTTGTCCGCGCGCGTGTAAAGGCGACGTTGATGCGTCTCCAGTCTCGGAGAAGATCGCCAACA